TCAGAAAAAGAGCATTAGTGCAAATACTGGTACATCCAAGTGAGTTCTGTACTTTAGTTAATAGCATTTCACCAAGGTTAATTTCTTGGTTTTGATGAATGCTGTATGGTGACATAAGGAAAAGCTGGGTGAAGGGTATACAGGAATTCTGTACTATTTTGGCAAGACTTCTGTTAAGTCTAAAATTGTCTTCAAAAAATTCATACACATGCACTGAGCAGGCCAAACAAAAGTTCTGTGTGGGTCTGATTCATTTATTCAGTCACTCAGCTAGTATTTGTTGAGGTCGTCCTTTGCCAGGCACTGTTCCAGGTACTGGGGAGACTGCATGGACAGAGCACAGCAGTTCTGCCCTCATGGAGCTGAAAGATAACAGAAGTTGGAGAGAGGGATAACAAAACAAGTGAAACATGGGGTATTAGATACTGATAGTGTTGGGGAGAAAGTAAAGCCAGGAAGGAGGACTGAGGCATGAGGAGCCCGTGTCCATGAGTGAAGCCTGGTGCCTGTCACTACGAGGGGGCTTCAGGCAGGTCTAGGGCCTCCAGGCTGGAGGTGAGCCTCCCTCCCCTGTCCCCTGGCTCACACCCTCTTTTCCTCTCTGGCTCCTGAACAGGCATCATTGCCAGCAACACCCGGGACAATAACACGGGGGCCACCTACCCCCACCTGAACTTCAGCATTCCCATCACGGTGCTCCAGCCGGCCCTGCAGCGGTACAGCCAGGCAGGCGACCTGGGCGGCCTCCGCCAGCTGGACCGCGCCCCTGAGCCAGTGAGGGTGGTGTGGCGGCTGCAGCGACCCCTGGCAGAGGCCCCGCGGAGCAAGCTCTGAAGCTGTGGCACCCCTCTAGAGAGAAGAGCAACCATCTGATGCCATGGGGAGCGCTGAGGCTGGTGGCCTGAGGACCCTGACATGGCACACCCCAGCCAGGCTGCATCCCCATCACCACCCACCTTGCTCAGCTCTGGAGTCTGGACCAAACTTCTCTTTAGCCCCCACGGATCTCTTACCTGGCAGCCCGTTTTGGGGTGCTTTCTCGAGCCGCCACCTCTCTCTTCCCCCGACACTAGGCTCAGCTCTGTTCTTTCCCCTTCTGGGGAGCGCAGTACAACCATACAACAGACAGACCTGGCCCTGACAGACAGATGTTACTGGAAGGCAGGCCCAGCCACGGTTCCCTGTCTCCTGAGGGTCACTGGGCGCCTGCAGTGGCGGCTTCCCTGGGGCCTGGGCTCCTCTCTGCTCTCGGTCAGAATGGGGCTGACAGCACTGGGGCTTCCTCAGAAAACCTCAGCAGAGAGGCCCTGCTCTGAAGACCAGAGGCGGAAGGGAAAGAGCATCTTCCTGTTCTGCTGGACCAGCGGTGGCGTCCCCGAAAGCCAGGACTCCCGGCTCTTCATGTGTCGGGTGCCCTGACCTACAGGGGCGCGCTGACACAGTGCCTTAATTTTCCGGCCCGTAAAGTGGCTCTCGGGTCGGGGGTGGGGATGTGTGGGGGGGAGGGGTAGAATGTGTCTGGTTGGGGTTTGGGAATAAACAGGACCTACGAGGGACAGGACCTACTTCTAGATATCAGCTTCTTTCTTTTCCTTCTTTGTTTTGAGAGTTGAATGGGGAATAGGAAAGCAGCAGGCACAGAAATATACCTTTCCATCCTGCTTTCTCAGGGGGTTTGATCTCACGGGACACTCTTGCGCCAGACTAGTCCTGGCAGCTGGCCGTGGTGCCAGTTAGCACTGGGTGGGGCTTGCAGATCCCAGACGGCGGTGGCCTTGGCCTGGCAGCAACTGTTTACAGGCTGCCTGGATGGACCCAGGCCTGTGCCAGGTCCTGGAATGGATGGGAGTTGGGGAGTTCAAAGGTGAATGAGGCCAAGGCAGGCCCTAGGAACTGAGACCAACCCTGGGAGTCAGGAACATGCACTGTGTGCCCAGGGCCCTGCCTGTGCAGGCCGTCAAGAAATGATGGTTAAATCACTGACAGGTTGAATGCCATTGGGGAATGACTGGGGGAGAGGGGGCTAATCTAAGCAAAGATAATTGCTGGGAGTACTTTGTTTCTAACATCTGTTTGTTGAGCACCAGCTCTGGGCAACCACAGAACACCCCCTGAGACAGTTGTTCCCTTCTGTGTGGATTAGGAATGGGGCCAGAGGGCAAAGTTAGCTTGAGAGAAATCCTGTAGTAAATTTATGGAGGTGGGGAGGGAGAGCCGAGTTCTGACTTGGCTGCAAGTGGGAAGGGGAGGATTTATCCCAGCATGTGTGGGTACCAAGGAGCTCAGGCTCTTCCGGGGAGACTGGTGTGTCACCCCGTTAGTGGAATGAGCAGGGCGTCTCTGTCCTGTTCAGGTGGAAGACCACGTCCAGGGGCCCAGAGCAGGGAGGGTCAGGCAAGGATTCATGCAGCTGAACACTGAGGGGAGAGTAGGTGTTTACCAGATGGAAACAGGAAACAGGGAGGGTGTCCAGATTGAGGGCAGTGGGAGCTGGGACAAGGAAGTGTGAAACTACATTTGTGTGTCTGGCCATGCTAAGTGGAGAAGAGATTGGAATGGAGGCTGGGGAACCAGTGACAATGGCCCTGGTGACGGGGAAGATGGCCACAACAGGCCTGGTGGGCATAGAGATCAAGCATGACACAGGAGCTGGACCTGACTGGATGTGGGGCAATGCAGAGAGAGAGAAGGGTCAAATGGTGCTGGGTCTCTAGCCAGGATAGTGATGAGTGGCTGACAAGTTTAGGGACGAGATGTTTCCTTGGGTGTCCGTGGGATCTCAAGTAGAGAGGCACAGCAGGCTGTTAAGTGGATGAGTTAGGATAACGCCATAAAAGGTCCCCTGTCCCCCATCTCAGTGGCTTAATACAATAGAAGTTTGTTTATTGCTCATGTAAAGTCCAAAGTCACGCACCTGACCAGGAAGTGGGGGAGGATGGCTCCTGTGCAGTTCTGGTTGAGGGACCAAGCTCCTTCCTTCTTGCGGCTCTATCACTGGGTCTGGGACCTCAGATCCTCTGCCAGGTCTTCTGTACCTGGATGGTGGATGGGGGAAGAGAGAGAGGAGAAGATATTCCTGCTTCTTTTTAAAAAAATGATTTTATTTTGAAGCAGTTTTAAACTTACAGAAAAGTAGCAAGAATCCCCACGCGCCCTTCCCCCAGACACCCCATACCATTTGTGCCATATGCCCCAGTGATGTTCTCTGTAACAAAGAGACCTCATTTGGGATCATGAGTTCTATCCACTTGCCATGGCTCTCTCCCCTTTGACTTGGAGCAGCTCCTAAGGCTTTCCTTGAGTTTGATGCCCTTGACCTTCCTGCAGAAAACAGGGCAGTCATTTTGCAGAATGTGCCTTAGCTTGGGTTTGTCCGCACTTCCTCATGATTAGATTTGGGATACACATCTTTGGGATATAACATTAGTGATGTTGTCTTATCATCATGTTCTACTGGGTGGTGCATGATCTTTATTTGTCAAATTATAGATGATAACCTTGATCATTTGAGTAAGACGGTGCCTGCTAGGTTTCTCCACTGAAAGTTCCTTTTTTTCTTTGTAATCAATAAGTATTTGTGTGGCAGTATTTGGAGACTATGTAAATATCCCTATCCCACTTTCATCTACTATGCTTAGCACCCACTGATGTCCCTTGGCTGAATAACTTTAATGTTTGCCCAATGGAAATTTTTTATTTTCATTTTTCCTCTACATTTATTCACTGGCTTTCTATTGTAAGTAAAAGCTTTCCCTCCTCTCTGTTTAATTATATCTGTGGAATCATGGATTCATAGTTTATTCAATGGATTATAATCTATTGTTATCATTATTTTGATGCTCCAATTGTCCATATTGACCAGTGAGAGCTCCTTCAAACTAGCTTCTGTGTTCTTTTGACATCTCCCCATCATTCTTTGAGCACGTCCTTCAAAACAAAATGTTGTAGACTTACTTTGTACTTTCCCTGGAATCAGCCACTTCTCCAGTGTCCTCTTTACTAGAGAACGGTATTTAGAAGCAAAGATCTAGGTACTAGGTGTGCTTCTTACTCTGAGGTGTTGCTGCTCCCAGGCCCTCTCGGTAGACAGACCTTACATCTATATTTATTTCTATCTCTATATGTTGCAAGCCATGCCACACGTTAACACTGATAGTTCCAATTTGATACCACAAGTTCAGTACCACAAGGTTCATTCTAGCTCTCCCCTTTTCATATCGGTACCTCCCTCCTGTCAGTGAGAAACACAGCTACATTATCCTCAATATATTAACTTGTTTGCTCCATCCCTTGCATGTGGCTAGTCTTCTGACCCTGTCAGGCTGCCCCTGCCACTCTGCTCTGATGCTGCTCTTATACGGGTCACCATTACTGCTCCGCACAAGCCTGCCTCATGATTTTTTTGACTTCATTTTTTGACAGAGGTAGAGCCGGAGCCTGCAAGGGGGCTGAGAAGAGACAAGCGGAGGCACAGGAAGAAAACCAGGGAGGCTAAGACCTAGGTCAGCAGGGCAGACACCAGAATCTGTTTTCCTCTCTTTGTGGCCATACACTAGACTGCACCTCCTGGCCACCCTCACGGTCAGGTGTGTCCGTGAGTTCCAAAGGGCAGAAAGGAGATGTGCCACTTCCAGGCCTGGCCTATAAGAAACTTCTACCTGGCCTTCTCTGCACCCTATCCCCTGCCCCTGGTGGGAGTAGAGGCATCCCTTAAAAGACACCTTTGGGGGCTTCCCTGGTGGCGCAGTGGTTGAGAGTTTGCCTGCCGATGCAGGGGACACAGGTTTGTGCCCCGGTCTGGGAAGATCCCACATGCCGCGGAGCGGCTAGGCCCGTGAGCCATGGCCGCTGAGCCTGCATGTCTGGAGCCTGTGCTCGGCAACGGGAGAGGCCACAACAGTGAGAGGCCTGCGTTCCGCAAAAAAAAAAAAAAGATCTCGTTGAATCTTTTCTACAGTGATTCGGGTAGGTGCTAATATTTGCATTAAATAGGTGAAGATGGATTATCTGTCACCAAACTGGCTTGATCCTACCTCCAGTTTGTAGCTTGCAGCAGTACATTTCTTGACAGATCCGAGTGCTTTCTTCTTCTCCCTGGACTCCCCTCCTGCCCAGTTTACCCAATTTCAGGCAGCCCTCCCATTGCCCTGTCTTTTCACCATCCAACATAACTCAGACCTCACTCTTCAGCTTAAAACCCATCAGTGGCATCCCGTTGCCCTTGGGATCACACGGGCAGTCTTTACCAGAACCTGGAGGCTTGTGCCACCCTGCCACATTGGGCCACTCTGTCCCCGACCACTTCTGCAATGCCCCTGCTCTCAGCTATTTATCCTGCCTTGGTCTTTGCACACCCAGAGCATACTTGCTTTCTCTCTGCCCAGGGCTAACTTCTCATCCTTGGAGAGAGGCCTTGGCACCCTTCTTTTGCCCCCGGTCTTTCTTACTGCAATTAGTGATACATATGTTTTATTGTTGTTTAGTATTTTTTCCTAGACTATTACCTGGAGGAAAACAGAAACCATGCCTGCATTGTTCTACATTTTACAACCCCTCACTCCTACCCCTCACGCCCAGCACAATGCCAGGCATGGAGTAGGTGCTCAACTGGGTTTGCATTTTTGTTTATATGTGTGAAGGCAGGAGGCTGGTGATCCGTCCGAGATCGCACAGCCAGTGCCGGGGCCCGCGCTCTAAAGGCTGGAAAGGCGTCCGGCAAGGGAGCCGGAACGAACTTTGAGCAGAGTCCGAGGGGCCGGGTTAGCGCGGGCGTCCTCGACAGTAGCGGTCGAGTGCTCACGGTTGGGGCGATTGGCTTCCCGGGCCGGCGGCGCGGGCGGGCCGGAGGCTGCAGTTCCCCGGGGCGCCGCTAGGGGCATAGCCGAGGCTGGAGGGCAGACGCGCCGAGGCTGGAGAGCAGACGCGCCGAGTCACGCCGGCAAGGGAGGGGCCTCGGGCCCGACGGCGACCACGGGAGCTGCTGACAGGAGCGGGGGCCGGAACGGGAGCCGGAACTGGAGCCGGAACGGCGGGAGGCCGCTGGCAGGTGAGGGGCGCGTCGGGCGAGCTCTGCGGGACCCCCGCGCCTGCAGGGCCCCAAGAAGCCGAAACAGCGTCCGGGGCCGGGGAGGAGAGGGCGGTCGTCTAGGACAGTGGTCCCGAACCTTTTTGGCACGAGGGACCGGTTTCGTGGAAAAAAACTTTTCCACGGACGCCGGGGGCGGGGTGTGGGTGGGAGGGGAACGGTTCAGGCGGTAATGCGAGCGATAGGGGGGATGCAGAGCGGCAGATGAAGCTTTGCTCGCTCGCTCGCCCGCCGCTCACCTCCTGCTGTGCGGCCCGGTTCCTAACAGGCCGAGGACTGGTATAGGTCCGCGCCCCCAACCCCTGGTCTAGGATGAGGGACTCAGGCCTGCACCAACCCAGGTCCCTCAAAACTCAACGGGGAGCTTTGCTCCCAGTGAGGACGGCGCAAACTCGCCTCCTCCGCGTCCGCTCCCCGCCCCCCAAATCCCTGCTAAGTCTTCCTAAGTAAGACAAACCCCCCCGTCACCCCCCCCCCCAAATCCCGGGAGGGCTCCGAGGGTCGCCGCTGGGCGGTGGAAGCTGCTGCGGGGCGGACGGAAGCCCGTGTCACAGGCAGGAGGAAAGCCTCAGTGTCCAGGAGGAAAATGCCTGGGGTTACCCAGTGCCCATAGGCTCCAGGGTGCACTGGGAGGTCCTGCTTCTCCACGGAGCCCCAGCTTCCACGGGGGCACTAAGGCCAGAGGTGGCCCAACTAACTCTGGTGGGGCCGGAGGTTGGGGGGAAGCCCAGGACTCCTGATCCACCGGGAGCTGCTTTTAGTGCCTGATGTTGGGCGCTTTTCTTTCAACAGCACCCACTAAACACACCCTGCCTTTCCCCTTTGATTAAACTTCCTTTGACCCTTGGTTGTACCGTGAGGGTGGGGAGGGGAGAGGTGCTTAGGAGCTGATGGTCCCACCGGAGGACAGGCACAGGGCAGAAGGTCAGACATAGTTTGTGAAGGGGCTTCCAAGTTTGTGAAGGGGCTTCCAAGTTTGTGAAGGGGCTTTCAGGTGTCCCGGCTCTGCACCTTGTGTTCAAAGGCCAACATGTAAAATATGTAAATATATAAATTATCAAGGAGGCCTGCTTGGGTGTGTGTATGTGCCCCAAGCTTTCAGAGCCCTCCAAGGAAGACCGTCTGTAACCCTGCATCTGGAAGGTCCATTTCACAGGAGAAGACTGAGGCCCAGCTGGGCGGGGCCTTGCTCGGGACTACCCAGCAGTTAGGGAGGAGCTGGGTAGAGGGGGTGTGCTCCAGGGCCAGTCTGATCTTTGTGTCTGGTGGTGAAAAGAGGAAGCCAGGGTCCAGGCACAGATCATGGGGATGTTAAGGGAACCACCAAGTGACTGGCTCCCAGGAGACTCTACAAGTTGTGTGGCCTAGGCTTCAGCACCGGAGCCTGTATGACACCCGCATGAGCCCGTCTGCCCAGAAGTGCCCTCTCCTGAGGGCATGAAAGGACAGCCCTCTTCAGACTTTGAGCCTCTTTCAGAAATTGGTCTTTTTGGGTTTTGTTCACCATGTGTTCCCTGGGGGACTGGCCTTGGAGTGCCCACTCTCAGCCTGGTCCCTGGGGTCCAGTGAGGGAGGCTGCCCACCACTCTGCCTTCGCCGGGTTGGAGAGATATATTCATGGTGCTTCAAGTCACACTGTAGGCCCTCTCATCCAGGATGGCCACTCTGGACATGGCTGTGGAAATCTACCTTGGGAGCCACTGGTGAGCGCTCTAAAGCTCGGTGTTTTATTTGTAATCTCTATGAAACAATTCTGGGACGACATCTTTGCTTTGATCAGAGCCCACATGGTTCCGCTGTGTGTCTTCTGAGGCATGACCGCCCCACAGCTTTGGCCTAAATATAACTTCCTTGTTTTTCAGTAGATTCCTAAAAGCCCTTTGTCTGTATTATTAGAGAAGAATCCCCCTGGGATCAGGCTGGGTGTCCTTGGCAGAGAAAACAGGATTTACTGAGAAAATTTGAGTGTAGACCATACTGTGTGTGTGTTGGGGGAGGGGCAAAGGCAAAATTACTTGTGAGTTGCTGGACAGTTAGGAATTGTTTTCTTGGACCTGCTTTTTTTAATGAATTTTATTTATTTATTTTTGGCTGCATTGTGTCTTCGTTGCTGTGCACAGGCTTCCGCTAGTTGTGGCAAGTGGGGGCTACTCTTCGCAGCAGTGCGCGGGCTTCTCACTGCGGTGGCTTCTCTTGTTGTGGAGCACAGGCTCTAGGCGCGCGGGCTTCAGTAGTTGTGGCACGTGGGCTCAGTAGTTGTGGCTCATGGGCTGTAGAGCACAGGCTCAGTACTTGTGGCGCACGGGCTTAGTTGATCCGCGGCATGTGGGATCTTCCAGGACCAGGGCTCGAACCCGTGTCCCCTGCATTGGCAGGCGGATTCTTAACCACTACACCACCAGGAAAGTCCCCTTGGACCTGCTTTTATGCTAATATTCCTGCATCTGGGAAGATTCAGTTAAGATTCTCTGTGCTCATTCTCTTGCCTTGATGGTCAGTAAAATCAGATGGTAGGTTTGCAGTTCCTCAAAAAGTAAAATCTAGAGTTACCATAGGACCCAGCAATTTCACTCCCAGGTATAAACTTAAGAGAACTTTTTGTTCACACAAAAAGTTGTACACAGATATTCATAGCAGCCTTATTCATATCAGCCAAAAGGTGGAAACAAGCCAAATGTCCATCAACTGACAAATGGATAAACAAAATGTGGTATCTCCATACAATGGAATATTACTCAGCCATAAAAAGGAATGAAATACTGTTATAAGTTACAGCTTGAATGAATCTTGAAAATATTGCACTAAGTGAAAGAAGCCAGACACAAAAGGTATGGAATAGGCAAATCTATAGCGACAGAAAGATTAGTGGTTGTCAGGGCCTGGAAGGAGGAGGGAATGAGGAGTGAATGCTAATGGATGTGGGGTCTTTTAGGGGAGGGGGTGATGAAAATGTTCTGGTATTAGATTGTGGTGATGGTTGCACAACTTTATGAATGTACTAGAAACCACCGAGTTGTACACTCTGAGGTAGTGAATTTTATAATATATGAAAAAAGATCTCAATTTAAAACATTAGCTTGTAGGAAGCCAGCTCTGTCTTTAAAGCTTTATTATTTCATTTAAAAACATTCATACGGTACAAAAAAGGGGGGGGAAAGCTCAAAGAAGAAAGTAAAAACATCGTCTGGCAACCGCTATTAGCATTTTGGTTTAGAGCGCAGATCTGGCCAGACTGTTGAGGATTGACCGGGGCAAGTTAGTGAAATTCTTTCCAAAATGAGGAGGAAACCCCACCTGTTCAACGCAAAGACATTGATAAAAGCGCAGTGGATGCTCACTGTTGTCATCATGACTTGTATGTGTGTATATGTAGCTAGGTGCCTGGGTCTGATGGCCCACAATGGAGATTAGGCCCTACGTGACTTTCTATTATCTGACTTTTTGATGGACAAGCTTTTTTTTTCCCTAAGACTTTATGTTTTTAGAGTAGTCTTAGGTTCACAGCAAAATTGGGTGGAAGGCACAGAAATTTCCTATATGCCTCCTGCCCTGACACGTGCATAGCCTCTTCCATTATCGACATCACTCACCAGAGTGGTGTTTGTTACTGAACCTACATTGGCATAATCACCCACAGACCATAGCTTACATTACGTTTCACTCTTGGTCTTGTGCAGTCTGTGGGTGCGGATGAATCGTGGACAAACTTTTCATGTAAAAAATCTTGCACTGTAAAATTGAATGTCTCCAGAATATTCCATTGTATGGGTGTGTAATAGTGTATCCTCTAATCTCCCGTTGGTGGAGGTTTCCACTGATTGATGGAGTTGCCCACTGACTGAGGCTGTTTGCCCAGCACTGCTGCTACATTAGGTCATATAATTCAACATCATGAGTTGCACGCTTGCTTTTTGAGCGCCTGCTGGGTGTGTGGCTAGGAGTGCTGGTCCATGGCTTAAGCCGATGACTTAGGTGTCTGGTGAAGTAGGTCATGGCCGAGCAGAGGGGAGTCTAGCTGTCCTCGGGTCCAGGTGAGAATTGGCATTGGAAGAGCCAAGGGAGAGGCGGGTGTCCAAGAGTGTTGGGCAAGGGAGGCTGCCGAGGAGAAAGGGTGGAATGGGCTGGAGTGCCACCAGGCCCCCATTCCCCAAGTGGGTGTGTCAGAGGTTAGTGGAGGAGAGAGAACAGATTTCAGGAGAGGCCTCAGTCGGCTTGTGGTGTAAAAGCGCCTGCCCTCCCTGGCCCAGCTATGGCAGCCCCTCCTGGGCCTGGGTGTGCCCTCAGGCCCCAGACTCTGCACTGGAACTCTAAAGAATCGATTCACCTTTACTGAGGGCTGTGCCTAGTTGGGTGAGGCCAGGGTTTGTCCTTTGGGAAGCCAGTTAATGATCCTGGGGGGCTGGGGGAGCAGGGGTTCAACTCCTTTGGCTAACTCACTGCCCATAAGGCCTGTGCTGGGCTCACTGGGCTTTCTTCCTTGCGAGGGCCCCAGGGCAGCATGTAGGCCCAGACACTGCCCTAGCATGACAGGCCCTCTGTATGTGCTGTCCCCTGTCCCCTGCCCTCCTAGCTTCCCCACCTTGTTCCCTGAACCCCTCCCACCCCCTCCCTTCCTGCCACTGGACTTCTTGGCCTAAGCTGTTCCCTCTGTGAAGAAGGCCCCTGGCCCCAGCTGCTTTTCAGGGCTCCACCTTGAGCTCCCCTGGGTGGTCCATGGTGGACCCCTCTCCCCAACAAGCTGGGTAGCCTCTCTCAGGCCTGTGCCCCGCCAGCTTGGAAGCAGAGCTCTCTGGGTGTTTCTCTGACCTCTTCGCTGGCTGCTGGCCCCAAGGGCAAGCTGGCACAGAGGGGGCCGTGTTGAAGGGGCAGGTGAAATGCACCCCTTCCATAGCTTGCCTGACTGCCTGCCACATTCCCAGGCCCTGCTCAGCTCCTGGTGTCCGCTCCTGTCCCTGGCTGGTCCCCGGGCCCCTCTTGGGTCCTGGCCTAGGTGGCAGATTCAGCCTGATGAACATTCACAGGGCCAGCTCTGGACCACCTACTGAGGGCCTGGAACAGTGAAGGTGACACTGCCTGCTGGGGGACTTGTTTTGGTCCCAGCCCTAGGATGCACAAGCCTCAATGCATTGGGGACCATTTAGCCAATGAGAAACAAAGTTAAATCCCCTCCAATCTCCTATGCCAGATCTACCCTCCCTCGCCCAGGTTTTCACTTCCCCAGAGGAGACATTAGACTGTGTGCATTTGAATCCCAATGACAACAGTGTCTGGAGGTCCAGCCGTAAGCCGCCCCCATAAGTGTGGGAAGATCTGGGGACCATCTTGGGGGTCACCATGTCTTGGAAACCTATTGTGCAAGGACATTACAGGGGGTAAATGGAGGCCCAGAGAGGGGAGGGGTTGTGCCCCAGACTACACACCTGATGGAGGACAGAGTGGTGACCTTCCAGCTGCCTGCAGTGCTGTCCGAGATGTGGGCTGGAATGTTCTTCCCCATTGAGACAGCTTGCTGTCTGTCCGCTTCCTCCCTCCTTGCCGTGCTCACATGTGAGTGTGAGCTTGGTGCACACTTGGCCCTCCATCCTCTGCAGATACTCTCTTCGATTGCAGGTTCCCTTTCCTCGACATCAAGCAGGACCTTGCGCCCCCTGCCCCTCTCACTGGAGCCCACGTGATGAGCGCTTCTCCATCCTGTTTCTCACCAGCAGACTTCCCTTTTGGTCCTTAACCAGCACTGTTCCTTCTCCCAGCAGAGATTTCTCCCTGCCCGCTTCCTCCTGGGGGGTGTCACCCACCAGTCGCAGTGTACGTCCTCTGTTCCAGGAATGCTCAGGGGACCACCTGCCCACAGCAGGCCCCTCCTCCCCACCGCACTGTCATGGCCTTAGTCCCATCGCATCCTGTTTTGCAGGCTGATTGTCATAACTGGCTAAGTGATCTCCTCAGACCTGGGGCTGAAGCTGGTGACGTGTGAGCTGGGTGGAATCTGGTCTCAGTGTTTGCTTACTGGTGTGCTTAAATAATTTTGTTTAGTTCTTTTAATGTGGGCTGTACTTAGCAATTCCCCAGAGGTGTACCCACCATTTCTGGTTACTGTGCACCTGCCCAGCTTCCCACAGCTACATCATCCACCTGGCCCTTTGAGTTTGAAACCCTGCCTTTACAAGGGCTGAGACCATATCTGTCTGTCTGTCTCTCTGACCATGGCATCCATAGCACAGAACATGTCAAAGAGCAGGAGGTCCATTAATTTATACTGTTGAGTGAACAAATATATTTACGAGTGAAAAAGAGTGCAAAAACAGTTGTTTAACATGTGCAAAAACAATAATCATGATTGTAGGTGCACAGAATATCTCTGGAAGGATTCATGTAAACTTGGTAACAGTAGATGCCTTGGAGAAGGGAACTGGGTGGTTGAGGGGATGAGGTGGAATTAGGATACTCCTTATTCCTTTGGAATTTAATTCAAATTTTACAAAAAATGGAATTTCATAAAAGATGATTACATACTTTTAAAAGATCAAGTCTTGGCATTTGAGGCCATTCTTGATATGGACCCACCTCTGCCCACCCAGCCCTCGAGCCCCCTGAATCTGATGTGGTCTCTCCTCCTACCCCAGCAGCACCTGGTCCGAGATGGGGTCCCAGGTCTCGATGGACGTGGGAGCCGTGCATGTGGTGATCGTGGGCGGGGGCTTTGGCGGCATCGCGGCCGCCAGCCAACTGCAGGTGCTGAACATCCCCTTCGTGCTGGTGGACATGAAGGACTCCTTCCACCACAACGTGGCAGCCCTCCGGGCCTCCGTGGAGAGTGGTAATGGTCTCTTCTCTGGGGCTTTCTTTGTGACCGTGGTCTTGTCACCACTGTGGATCACAGGGTGGTTTTCTCCCTTTAGGGCAAGGTGCCTAAATGCCACCATTAGACAAATTCCGGGGAATCTTAAGGTCCCTGGCCTTAAGCAGCTACCATACCAAGGCCCCAGAAGTCAGAGCGAGAGCTTCTCCGAGGACCTGGGGCCCAGACTGGCGCTTTAGGGGGTAGTGGGTACCCAGGGGCTGTTTAACCAAGGGGCCCCTGTTGGCATGCAGCTCTGGAAATGTTCTGAGTTATTCTGGCCTCCTGTGGGCAGCCCAGTTTTACACTGTGACCTCCTCTCTGTCCGTTCCCCAGGGTTTGCCAAAAAGACATTCATTTCCTACTCGGTGACCTTCAAGGAAAACTTCCGGCAGGGCCTGGTGGTTGAGATAGACCTGAAGAATCAGACGGTGCTGCTGGAGGACGGCGAGGTGAACCCAGCGGGGGCTGGCCATCCTCAGTTGGCTTCAGGGGGCCCCTGAGATGTGGCTGCTGGTGGGAGGACACCTGGGCCCGTCTCCTTAGGGGCAAGGGCCCCCCGTGCCCTCCTGGTGCCTGGCAGATAGCAGATGCCTCCTGAGCAAAGGCTGGGCCCCAGCAGCCACAGGAGAGCGGTGCAGAGCCTTCCCTGTATGCCGGGCACTGTTTTAAGCCTCACATGATCTCCTTTAACGCCCACTGTGACCCCGTGAGGGAGGTGGAGTAGCCTCGGTGCACCCAGAGGTTAAGAGGCTTGCCCAAGACCCCACAGCTGGAGAGACTCAGCCAGGATTTGGACCCAGGCAGCTTTGCCCCAGAGCCCTCACTCTGAAAGCCAGGGTCCGAGCCCAGGGGCCCCCTCACTGTCTGGAATCAAAAGGTAGGCACCACAATCCCACATCGCCCGGGGGGGCAGAGGTTTTCTTCCCGAAGTTTGTGTCCCTCAGCCCTGGGGTAAGCACAGTGCCTGTTGTATCCTTGTGGGACCAGAGCTCCGTCAGCAGGCTGCCAGCAGCCCACCCACCATGCTGAGGGTACCCTCCAGCCTGGCCCTCTACTCTAGTCAGAGCTAAGGGGGGACTGTACAAAGGGGCTTCAATTCCTGTCCTCAATGAGTGTGGTTTAGTGTGACTAAATCAGTCTTACTTGAATCAATTTTGAGGCTGTAGAATCTCCAGTTGGCAAGATTACTGAGAACGTCCTTATCCTGTGGCTTTGGGTCCATGAGGGCATCTCAGGCCTCCACGGGAGTAGTGGGGCCTGAATGGGATACAGACCCTCCAGTCCCCCTTCCATCAGAGCAGCTCTGGGTTTGTCAGTTTTATATATTTAGGCTCCAAACAGGATATCCGCTCCCCCCCGCCACTTTGTTTTTGCTGGCCAGGATAAGGGGAAATTTTTTCTAAAATAATGGTAATAATAGGGAGATTCTAAACTAACTCCACACTGGAAGCTGGAATCCTGCTTATTCCCCACGAGCCGTTTCCTGTTGCCTGCTCACCTTCCCCGCTGCTGTGGGGAGCTCTCCCCTCCCGTCCTGTTTCATGGTGGGCGGTCCAGCAGGCGGTAAGCTCTGCTTCCTTGGGTATTTCCTGGGTTCTAGCACCATCCCTTGGTCTAACCAGTGATGGTTTTGCTCCCCCGCAGGAGGCCTCTCCCCCTTGGTGCTGCTTGCCTGGTGGAGCCTGGGGTTGGATGCAGGAGCCCAGGTCTGCCCTCACCATTCTTTTCCCTTGCCCCTCCCAGGCCCTGTCCTTCACATATCTCATCCTGGCCACAGGCAGCACTGGGCTCTTCCCAGGCAAGTTTAACCAGGTGTCCAGCCAGCAGATGGCCATCCAGGCCTATGAGGACATGGTGACGCAGGTGAGCTGCCTGCTGCCTGGCGGCAGGACAGTGAGGGCAGAGCCGGGGGTGGGGGGCCCTGGGAGAGTGGGACAGCTGTGGGGATGCCCGGGGCTGCAGCAAGGAGCCCCCAGGGCTGCAGTGGCTCTGTAGAGATGGAGAGTTACCAGGAAGAGGCTCCTGGGAGGAGACCTTTGGACCTGCTCATGTAGCGATTGGCTCCTGTTTGCACGGGGCTTGTGTTTATATTATAGAGCGGGCTTGGATCCATGCTGTCAGTCACTTCTCACGGGGATCTGGAGAGGTGGGTGGAATGGGTCTGTCCCCACTGAACAGATGAGGTGTGGGGACCCAGAGAAGGTCCTACAGCTGTGTGACCAAGGCCAGGTCTTTCCCTCTCTGCACAGCTGCTGAGAGGCCTGGGGAACCTCTGGCACAGTCATGAGCAGACGTAAGAGTGGAGGTTAGGAACCCGACCTGGAACTCAGGCAGATCCGGGTCACCTGCAAGCTGGGCAGGTAGTGAGAGTTGAGTGAGAAATGCAGGGAGACACCCAGCAAGAGCACATTTGGACCCTGAACTTGGAAAAGGTTCTCTACGCTCCTTTGGCCAAGGAACCCACTCCCCAGGCGGACCCCGAGGCAGGGCAGATTTGAGAGCGCACCTTAACATTTCCTCCTCCTCCAGGTCCAGTGTGCACAGTCCATCGTGGTGATCGGAGGAGGCTCTGCGGGAGTGGAGATGGCAGCAGAGATTAAAACAGAGTACCCTGAGAAAGAGGTGGGCCAGTGGCCTTGGCCGTGAACTCTCGGAGGCGGGCTTCTTTTTTGTCTGACGAACATCAGAATTTGCTCAGGGCCTGGGAGGGGAGCCCCGTTACCATAAAGTGGGAGCGTGCGTTTCCTGTCTCCTGCTCTCTGCACTGCGGGACCCCCTAAAGTCCCATTCTGCTGGGAATTTTACCTGGAGAGCCAGGGTGCATCCTAGTTCAGTGAAGGGTTCTGCCCTCTGGGCCAACCCGGAGGACCACGCCCTGGGGGGATACAGTATGAAAGGTTAACTCCCGCGTCCCCTGCAGTAATGTGGCCTTTGCAATAGAAACGTAGACTTTTGATGACCTCTTTTTGCTAACAACCAGCTTGATCAAAGGCACCCTCATCGGTGTCTTGTCTGGAGCAAGCACAGCCTTTTGGTCTTTAAGGGACAGTAGCCCTTGCCCTAGACAGCACATAGGGGGACCCCGAAGTGTACACCTCACAGCCCATGCTGGGGCAGGACTGGCCAGCACTGCCTCTTTTTAGTGATAAAGGGATGGAGACCCTGCCGGCATCCTGGAGAGAAAGGAAGCAGGCTGTGAAGGCTCAGCCTAGGGCTCAGGGATGATGGGCAGTTATGGGTCCGTGAGGCAAGAGCCTGCCTGCAGCTGATGCCAGATCAGCTTCTGGGAGCCACGTGGAGCCTGTGTCTGGTTCTTTTTCCCTAGGGAAAGGCAGGTTGGTTTTGAAAAGTAAGATAAATATGGGCTAATTTAATTCTATGGCTATTCTCTGACAAATTATTGGAAATTATTATGGGTGGTTCATGTAGAAGTTTATTAATTTTGATTTATGGGGTAAGGACTGGTCTGAAGTAGTAAATAACTCAGTATAATTCCCAAATGTTTATAACTAATAGACAAATAAGAGTAATAGTAGCCACCCTTTATTAAAGAGTCACTATGTGCTGAGTTACATGCTTTACACTTACTTTCTCGTTTCATCATTACAATATTCCTGAGTAGGACTGTGATCCATCTTACTGGGTCTTCAGGAGGTGACTGAGTGGGTATCTGAGATGGGATTTCAACCCAGGCAGTCTGATTTCAAAGCTCAAGCTTGGAACATCACTGCGGGCTCCCTCGCACTTCACTGCTGACCCAGACAGCAAGTAGACGTGCCTGGAAGCACCAGTTTTAGAACCAGCCTTAATGTAAATGTCAGCCTGATTTACAGTTAGAATGTCGATGGCTTATATATAGACTGTATAAGTGCCCAAGGATGCTTGAAAATAATTTTCCACGTGGCCCTCGGTGAGGTGTGTGTTGTGAAGCATTGGCACGTCGGAAAAAATCCTACCCTGGGAGATGTGGGCTCCAGCCCACTCACCATTAACTGGTTCTAGCAGTGGGCAAAGTACTTCTCTGGGCCCTCCGTTTCCTCACCTGTGAACTGGGAGTTGGGGAGGAGGTGGGAGAGACAGGCTGATGTGTTTTCAAGCCTCTTTGTGTGAGCAGGAGACTCAGTGGCTCCTTCTCTGCCCTGTGGTTGTTTGTCCCCAGGTCACTCTCATTCACTCCCGAATGGCCCTCGCAGACAAGGAGCTCCTGCCCTGTGTCCGGCAGGAAGTGAAGGAGATCCTGCTCCGGAAAGGCGTGCAGCTGCTGCTGAGTACGTGTCAGGCCCCTCCTGCCCTGCCCCTCTCCCTGGCCTGCTGAGACTTGGCTGAGGCTTGGTCCCGGCTCACAGCCTGAGCGTGGCTGCGCTCAACCCCAGGCTCTCTGTGTCCTGAGGTGGGGCTGCAGAGCCTGTTTAGCCTTGTCGTCCAGCTGGAGGTGTGTCCGTCCCCAGGCAGGGCAGAGGCCCCGGTACTTACGGGATTTTCCTGTCATGAAGGCAGCACTGTCCTGGCTGTTGCTTTGGATACAGTACAGGTGGTACCCATTTGTTGAATGGTTTAAAAAGTCATGTAAAAGGGACTTCCCTGGCGGTCCAGTGGTTAAGACTCTGTGCTTCCAACGCAGGGGGTGCGAGTTCGATTCCTGGTCAGGGAACTAAGATTCTACATCTACATGCTGTGTGGTGAGGCCAAAAAAAAAAAAAAAAAATCATATAAAAGATTTGACCTGAATTATGATATCTCTTTAGTGGAGAGAATAGGTGTTTTGGGTTTGTATTTTGAGGCTGGTGGAGAGCGTGGCTTCTGTCCAGAGCAGAAGGGAAGAGACCTACCCAGCATGTTAGAGTGGGGCTCTCTCCCGGGGGTGTGACCCCCGCCCCCCAGTTCACGGGCCCGACACTCTCACTTTTTGCAGGGCGGGCGAGGTGTCTGCTCTCTGAGAGCCCTCCCGGCTCCTGGGCTCCGCAGAAGTGGCTGTGCAGCCCTCTGCCCGCCTGCACTTCCAGGCAGTGAGGAGAGTGGGCCGGCCCTGGACTTCCCTTGCTTACCCCTGTCGGTGGTGAGCCCAGAGGGCTCATCTTTCCTGGTTAGGAGTGGACATTCAGGGAGGCGTGGTTGAGGTCTTCCTCAAACAGCTTTTCCCAGAACCTCTTGGGAAACTCGGCCTCACTTCCCCAAATTGCTTCTTGGAACTTGCTTTCCATCGGATCCCTTGGGGCCAAATGTCCAGATTGTGCTTCTTGGGGTGGCAGAGCGGACCGGTCTCCAGCCCCCAGGCCAGCCCTGGCTTGGGCCCCCGCCTCGGTGGCGTGCCTGCCCTCTGCCAGCCTCCTGGTCACGGGCCTCCCCTGACAGGTGAGCGGGTGAGCAACCTGGAGGCGCTGCCTCTCAACAAGCATCGCGAGCACATCACGGTGCAGACGGACAAAGGCACGGAGGTGGCCGCCAACCTGGTGATCGCCTGCAGCGGTATCAAGATTAACAGTTTGGCCTACCGCAGCGCGTTTGGTAAGTGGGAGGCCGGGCCGTGACCCCCTCCCCAGGCTGCCTCCTCCCCCTCCAGCCCCCGAGAAGGCCCTGCAGGCCTCTCCCCCGAGGAACTGGCACTCCACCCTCCCACCCCCAGCCCCAGTCTCAACAGCTCATTTGGTCTCTTCAAACTTTAAATTTAGGTTCAGGGCCACTCTTGCTGGGCTTTCCTCAGCTGTGTTGATGGTAATTGAGGCCAGGGTGGCCAAAGTGACCAGAATCTTCCAAAATCGGATCCCACCCCCTAGTGGTGAGAGATGGGGACAGGTTTCAGAAGGAAGAAAAAGATCTATTTTTCTGTTACTTTCCTTGGAACACCAATGCAGAGGAAATTCCAGGGTCAGGCCTTTCTCTGTTCACAGGTGTGCTGCTCTCCCCAAACCCTGACCCAGACGTTTGCCACTTGAGCTTGGAAACGATCATGGGGAGAGGGGGGTAATGAGGCCTCCGTTCGTAAAGCTGAATATAGACCTATTGAGCTAACTGGAGGTGGGGGGAGCTGGACCCATGGCTCCATCTGTGAGCTGGAGGCTCAGTGGCTCCTTCTCAGGCCCCGAGGTGGCCATGTCCCCAGGTCCCCATCATTTACTCCCAGATACCTTTCCTGGACAAGAAGCTCCTGCTGTGTGTCTGGCAGGAAAGAATTATCCAATCCCAGAAGGAAGCTAGTCCAGGCCATGTGTGGGGCTGGGATCGAGGGCTTATAATATACAGAGATCCCAGGACTTAACACCTAATGGTCCTAATGGTATGTTTTCAAAGGTAAATTATTTTAAGTCCCTTAAAAAGAAAAGTTTATCATCTATTAAAGCCCTGCATTTATTTAAAAAAATCTGATCCACATTCAAAAGGAAATCCAAGACTGGGCTAGGTTGTAACTTAATCATCATAAGTGAATCATTGTTAATCGTGGTAACTTACAAAGAGTCATGTGTGTTATATGAAATGACACTTGCTGGTCTTTCTGACCAGTTTCCACCCCAAAATAGTAACCTCGCCTTTGCAGGAAGAGTTCTGAGGGGGGGACTTCAGGCAGAAGTAAACCAGACAGGAGGTTTGCCTCTTGAGGATGTGCCTTTGGAGGGTAGCTGGACTGGCACCACAGCCCATCCTCACTGTGTTCCGGTGGCCACTTCTTGAGGCAGCTCAGGATCTTGGTTTCAGGCTGGTTTTCTCGCAGGTGATCAGCTGGCGAGCGACGGCGCTCTGAGAGTGAACGAGTACCTCCAGGTGGAGGGCTACAGCCACATCTATGCCATCGGTGACTGCGCCGATGTGAGGGAGCCCAAGATGGCCTATCACGCCAGCCTCCACGCCAGTGTCGCCGTGGCCAACATCGTCAACTCCATGAAACAGAGGCCCCTCAAAGCCTACAAGCCAGGTCAGGAAGCTCCCCACGCGGCACAGTTTTAAGAGAGTCGGGGTTAGAAACGGTGAAGCCTTTGTGGGCTTTACGATGCCTGACCGCTAGAACACACTCTCAAAGCTGGGGACAGAAACCTCGCCCAGAGCTCTAGGAAAGTATGTCAGGGACTTGCGCACGTTCCTGAAGGCCTTACGCATTTCCCTGCCCTGACACTGAAGGCCCCGGGAAGGGTCTGTGCCCTGGGAGCTGCAGGCCCATGGATGGTGAGCAGGATTCTAGTTTAGCGCACGGCTCTGCTTCACAGGTTCGCTGACGTTCCTCCTGGCCATGGGGAGAAATGACGGCGTGGGCCAGATCAGTGGCTTCTACGTGGGGCGGCTCATGGTTCGGCTGGCCAAGAGCCGGGACCTGTTGGTCTCCACGAGCTGGAAAACCATGCGGCAGTCTCCACCCTGATGGGGAGGCTGGGCGGGAGATAGGTACTGTCACCGCCCGGCGATCAGATTTCTTGACAAATGGTACCCGCTTGACAAATGCCAAAGGGCAAAAGCTCTTTTCCTGGAGTAAGATGTCGGTGATGTACTGACCAGAAACACAACTTAGACAAAACCAAAAACTGGGAGAGAGAGAGAGGGATATTGGTGTTAAAAGAAAAAGACACCCTTAAAGGAGTCTTTCTGTTTCAAAGGTCTGCTGGCTGAATGGTTCACTTGGTCCTGGGGAGGGCACAGCCCACCTTCTCTACCCCAGCCTCCTCTTGGGTGTGTGTGTGTGTGTGTGTGTGTGTGTGTGTGTGTGTGCGCGCGCGCGTGCACATGGTGTGTGGCATTCAGAGCTCTCAGAGTATGGGCGAGAGCTCAGTATCCTGGTGGCAGGAAGGGTCTCCCTGTCTGTAAGGGCAGGAAGGAGGGCCTGCACAAGGAGACCAGCTAAGGAAGGGGGACTGGGGTGGAGAGATGGCCTACATCCCAACCTCTCCCATCACATTAGGAGGTGGGGAAGCCTATAACATCCTGCAATACTCAGGTTGTTAATAGGAGCTTAATTTTAAACTGTTAGTCCCTACCATCTTTAATCTTCATGAATCTTTCTATATTTCTATTTTTAGATCCTGATTATATACCATAGGTTGTATTTTAAAAGCGTTAGATAAAATTTCCCTCCTGGTGAGTCCATCCTAATGGAGAGTGAGTTTTTTTATAAAGCTAACGGGTTAAGACAGAAACCTGGCCTGCCAGCTGCTGGGGGTGTTTAAAGAAAGACAGCCAAGCTAGCGTGACCGTCGGGTGGGTCGCCATCCTGCTAACATTCAGGGAGCAGAGGGGGTTTCAGTAGGTGAACCCCTGCATGCTTCCAGGCTACTGTCTTAGGCAAATTTGTAAGTGACAAAACTCCAGCCAATGCTGGGGCAGGGGTACCCTGTGGGAACCTTTGTAGTTCTGTGCTTCTTGTTTCTTGGTCAACCCCAATGTCACTTATCTGGAGGTGTAGCCATGTGGCAATAATGCCTGCCACCAATTATGTTAAGGTATAAAAATGACTCCTCTGTTTGGGAGAGGACTTCTAATCAGGATAAACCTATTTTGGACCACATAGGCAAGATCTCTAAGGCAGAAGTTGTTGATGAGTTCATCTGAATAAATTCAGGCCCTGCCCCAGCCCACCCTACCCCTCCCTGCCCACTTTTTTTTTTTTTTGCAGTATGCGGGCCTCTCACTGTTGTGGCCTCTCTTGTTGCGGAGCACAGGCTCCGGACGCGCAGGCTCAGCGGCCATCGCTCACGGGCCCAGCCGCTCCGCGGCATGTGGGATCTTCCCAGACCGGGGCACGAACCCATGTCCCCTGTATCAGCAGGCGGACTCTCAACCACTGCGCCACCAGGGAAGCCCCCTGCCCACTTTTAATGGTAACCTCTGGGTACTTGGCTGGAATTCTTAGGATACCACCCTCACGAGGGTTCTTGGTCTGTCCTGTGTGGGCTGTGGCCCAGGTGTGTTCCATTTTGTTGCCCAGGCCTAAGTGAGACTGTGCCTTTGTCCCAAAGGATGGCCACCCCAGGGAGGCTTCACCCAGTCCTCCATTCCCGTGGACCACAGCCAACCAGGCTCCCCTTCTGGAAGTGGGACCTGTTGCCTGAGAAACACAAGCCATTCCGTGCCGTCTGACCTGGGGCCTAGCATGGTGGGAGTCTCAGCTCCATAGTGATAGGCCTGGTTCTATTTATAACATTCTTAAGTTTCCACCCATAGGGACACAGTTCTCCAGACTGAGCAAGATGTTACAATAAAAGAGTATGTTGTAAGAAAGACACTGGATCTTTTATTTTTTTTCCTTTCATTTTCTTTTTCTTTAAAAAAAACAAAACAAAACAAAAGCCTGAAGCAAAATCTTTCTAGGAGTAGTTACAGATATTATAGGGGTAAGGGTAGGGGCACTAAAACAGAAAGAAAAGCACCAGTAAGATGCCTTTCTAATTTTCTTCTCTCCATCACTGAATACAGACAGCCAACAAAGCCCAAGTCACTTCTTTGCCCTCTTCCCTTGCAAAAAAGGAGAAACAGAAGATTTTAAGAATTTTGAAAGGATTTTGTGTATGTGAGTGTGTAAAAGTCAATGCTATAAATCTAAAACGAAGTCTGTTTTTTTAAAAAAGTTCTAAAACAACAAGAAGAAAACACATGGAAAGAAACCCCTGGTGGAGACCTGGTTAATTACAGACTGAGGCTCTTTTTAACGAGAATATAAAATGCAGAGGGCTCTTCCCGTGGGCAGGACCTGCTCCCGCAGCCTCTGCCACCCACTTCCCTTTCAGCTGCCCTCCGCTCCCCTGCCGTCACCCTTCCTCTCTCCTTTTAAAAGATAAAACCCCGCTCCTGTGACTTTGATCCTCCTGATTCCGGATGGTGAACGTGGTGGCCACCAGTGGGCACGGGGCGGCTACTTGGCATCAAGCTTGGCCATCTCCTGCACATAGATGCCGATGCTCTCGCTGTCGAAGAGCAGGAAGTAGACGTTCTTCAGTGAGGATGCGCTCGAGTCGTCGAAGTGGGCCGAGATGGCTTTGAGGGTCACCTGGGCTGCCGTCTGTTTGGGGAAGCAGTTTCTGTGCCAAAGGAAGAAAAGAGCTGATGTCACTTTGGTCCTGGGGCCCATGGAGTAACTCTGCCCTCAGCCCGGGGTAGGGGCAATGTGGTTCCTTCTCATCTTGGCACCAGGTCCTTGTTCCTATCTCTCGGGGTCTCACCGTGTGCAGGCTGGTCCACGCATGATCCCCTTTCACCTCAGAAGAGGGACAGCCCAGGAGGGGGACAGACAGGGCACACTGTCCCCACTTCACATATGCCACACTGGCTCAGAGTGGCACAATGGTTTTAGGGCTGGCTGGTGAGCGGTGGCCTGTGTTTGAATCTATGTGGCCTGACTCAAGTCCAGCTGAGCTTTAAAAACTACCAACTCAGCTAACACAACATTGTTACTCAACTATACTCCAATATAAAATAAAAGTTAAAAACAAACAAAAAAAACCCTACCAACTCAGCATTTTAAAAAGCCAATATAGGGCTTCCCTGGTGGCGCAGTGGTTGAGAGTCCGCCTGCCTATGCAGGGGACACGGGTTCGTGCCCCGGTCTGGGAAGATCCCACATGCCGCGGAGCGGCTGGGCCCGTGAGCCATGGCCGCTGAGCCTGCGCGTCCGGAGCCTGTGCTCCGCAACGGGAGAGGCCACAGCAGTGAGAGGCCCACGTACCGCAAAAAGGAAGGAAAAAGAAAAAAAAGAAGAAAAAGCCAATATAGGGAATTCCTGGCGTTCCAGTGGTTAGGACTGCATACTTTCACTGCCGAGGGCGTGGGTTCAATCCCTGGTCAGGGAACTAAGATCCCATAAGCCTCGCAGCACGGCAAAAAAAAAAAAAAAAAGGCAATATAGGTTTTATTAGTTGCCTCAAAACTGGTTTACATGCTGAACAGATTGTTTATTAAAGGGCAATAATGTATGCTCAAAAGTACGTCTTCATTAATTCCTGTTTCATGCATTTCGTGTTCCTCTCGCTAACCTGTGTGGACGTGCCAATGTCATTTGAGCAGTGACGATTCTGGGCAGGGCCCCAAAAGCCCCAGGATGCCATGGTGGAGCTGTGCGCCAGGGACGCAGCCATTGTGACACCCCTGGTCATTTGGGGTCAGCCACCAAGCCCCTTGGGCGGGTCCAGGATTGGCCTGCCTAATAAGAATTCTTCTCACTCAGCTGCCCCGTCCCAAGCCCGGAACATCTCGGCAGGTGGGCCCAGCTATGCAAAGAATTCAACTCGCAGTGCCTCCGGGCCAGGCTGTGGAGACCCAGCGCTGCCTGCTCAGGTTGAGATAGGATTACGGCAGGAAGCTAGGCCTCATTCCTTCCTTCTTCGCCTTCCTGTGACTCGGCTGTAACAGAATGTCTTCAGAGTGTAAATCATATCTGCGCTACAGAGGGGCTTCTCAGGAGAAAGGGTGTTCAAAATTAAAGCAATAACTCACATTGGCTGTGAGCGTGAGGGGAGAGGCCCTGCTACACGTGAGGGCAGACAGCCTCATTATTTACCTGAAATACTGCTCCCATGCCCAGTCGGGGTCTGTGGCAATTAGAGCAATCATTTCTCCAACCCCTAAAAGCAGGCCCTTGCTGAGAGCCTTTCACTTCTCCAGCCTCAGCCTCGAGGCTCTCCCAGCCCCAGAGCAGCACCGGAATCCCCTGGGGATTCTGCGATTGGCATCCTAACCCCGTGGGCTCTCCGCTGCTGGTCTGTGGACCACACTTGGAGGAGCAAGTGCCTTTGAGCCTGGTGTTTCGGATCCAGTGCTCTAGACTGGGATAGCTGGCAGGAACGTGGCTCTCGGAAGGCTCTCAGAAGAGAACTCTGCATCCTGTTCCTCCCAGAATGGGATTTCTCCCTGCATTTTTTTTTTTTTTTTTTGCGGTACGCGGGCCTCTCACTACTGTGGCCTCTCCCGCTGCGGAGCACAGGCTCCGGACGCGCAGGCTCAGCGGCTATGGCTCACGGGCCCAGCCGCTCCGCGGCATGTGGGATCTTCCCGGACCGGGGCACGAACCCGTGTCTCCTGCATCGGCAGGCGGACTCTCAACCACTGCACCACCAGGGAAGCCCTCTCCCTGCATTTTGAAGGATGGAAACTGCGTCTCTTGCTCTATCGCCTGGTCAACGTGCTTGGCTGTGCTGGCAGCCCTTGGTCACGTCCTCTGGGATGGCCAGACTGGATGTGACCAAGTCGGGGAGCAGCTGGTCCCCAGTGAGAAGGCTGGACAAGCGGACCCAGCAACCTTGCCACCCCCCTGGAGGAGAACATCTTACCTGCCGCTGGGGAAGGGCGGGAATGCCACCGACTTCAGCTTCTTGTCCTCTGCTGCCGACAGGCAGTTTTTGATGGTCTCTTCAAGCTGTTCTTCACATTTGTCGGAGCCCCACTGAGGGATGTGACAGTGGATGACGAATTTGGCTGCAAGTCCGCTGGACTGGCTGACGGCGGCTGGGACACGACAGAGAAATGCCGCAGGTTATTTCCTACGTCTTCACCTTAAGCCAGGGGGTTAGGCTCAATCGCCTGTGTCCCTCTTAGGAGAGTAGGAGCCGATCAGAATTGCTTTTGACAGTTGGCACAAGCTTTGGGTAAACACACTGAAAGCTGATGTGACAGCATGTCACACACTCTCACATGGTCTGCCTCCTGGCCACAGGTTAGGTGACTCCTAATCAAAGGTACACAGTGGAATCGTCTCCGATCCCTGGAAATTGTGAATGTTTCCTTACATGGCAAAAGGGTCTTTGCTGGTGTGATTAAGTGAAGGATTGTGAGATGAGAAGTTTACCCTGGACTCTCCAGTTGAGCCCTAAGTGTAATCACACAGGTCCTAATAAGAGGGAGGCAGGGAAGTCAAAGGTAGGAGAAGGCGCTGTGATGAAGGAACAGGGGTTGGAGTGATGCATCCAGGAGCCAAGGAATGCAGGAGCCTAGAAGCCAGAACAGGCAAGGGACAGCTGCTCTGAGAAGGAACCAGCCCTGCCAGCACCTCGATTTTGGCTTCTTAAGACTCATTGTGGGGAATTCCCTGGCGGTCCAGTGGTTAGGACTGCTCCGAGGGCGTGGGTTCAATCCCTGGTCGGGGAACTAAGGTCCTGCAAGCTGCACAGCGTGGCCAAAACAAACAGACAAGAAAACTGCCTAAAAAAATAAAGGTTATAAAAAAAAAAGACTCATTGTGGACTTCTGACTCCAGAACGCTAAGACAGGACACTTGTGTTGTTTGTTGCTACCAAGTTTGTGCTAATTTGTTAGAGCAGCGATTGGAAACCAATGCAACGGCTTTTTAAAAATGGACAAGCCCTCCCCTCTTGCCCCGTCTGAGATCCTGACTTGGTAGGTCTGATGCAGGCCTTGCGCTTGGTGATTTGAGGACCCTCCATAAATTTAGAACCGATCTACTGGGTTGTATGCATCCTCAGACAGGGACTGCCCTTTTGATCATCTCTATATACCTGAGGAGCCTACAGGGAGCAAGTGTTCACAGCGGGTTGTGAAATTGGATTATACCTGCCTTGTCTCATAATTTCAGTTCATACTCCCTACTTTTATTTTTCACCACCCTCTCAAACCTATTTCCCATCAGTGACAGAGCTGATAACGAGGAACACCCGGGAAGTCCCTGTGGCCGTTGATCCCTGGAGAAGGGGCTGGGCCTGATCCACTGGCCACTCTGACCCCACATGCTGCTTGCCCCTAAGCTGCCCACCTTGTGGAGCTGGGGCTCTGTGCCGCTCAAGGAGCCGGGTGTAGCAAAGGTCCCCAACCCTCCCGCAGTGGCCAGGGTCTGGGAGCCTGGGGGAGTTCGGGCAGGCTGTGGCCGCTACGGGCTGTGTTTGTAACAAATGTGTGTGTGTCTGTTTTAGGGCAGTGTGTGGGGTTGGTTTGAAAGACTTATTTGAAATATATGATGCCCACCCAGCATGTGAGCCGTGTTTCCTAGCGACGCCCACAGTGCTGGAGAGGCTGTGACTGCACATGCCAGGGCTGGTGGAGACAGATGCAAGGGGCGTCCCCCGCCTGTCAGCTACGGCTGTGAATGCCTCGCCTTCCCAGTGCCCAGCTGGCGCCAACCATCTGATTAGTGAATGAGTGAGTGAAGGAATCAGTCAATATAAATACTGAGGAGGCAGTGGGCATGACTGGTTGACTCTATGACCTTGTACATTTGCACACCAGAAACGGAACGTCCCTGTCGGCCTTGTAGTCCAAGGGAACCCAGTACCCTGGGGATGGGCCCTTCCTGCTTGGGGCAAATTCCCTGAGGCCCTTACTCTTCTCATGTGCTGGAGAGATTCCAGCTCTTTACACACCGGGTAATGATCATGTTACCAGCTGAATGGTATTCTTTTTTTTTTTTTTTAATATTTATTTGTTTATTTGGCTGTGCCGGGTCTTAGTTGTGGC